CTGGTGCAAAATATTGTATGCCAGGAGTCAGGACGACTAGGCTGTGCCCAGGTCTCCGGAACCTGCGATGACGCTCAGCTCCATCAGCCCTCCATCTGCGCCTTCGGATCCACCAGCTCTGTCTCCATCGGTCAGCCCCCAGATGTTGGCAGCCACACTCGCATCTACACTCGCTCCCTCGATTCCACCTTGTGTTGTCAGCACTGGGATGCTCTGGGTCTGTGCCATGTGCCAAACACCTGCAGTAATACAAATATACTATAAACATACTTGTATTTCAAGTGCATTTTTAATTCATTTAATAGTATGTTTTGTTTTGTTTTTCACCAAAGTATATATGCTGCTGTCCTTTTTTAGTGTACTTTATGAATATTTGTAATATACACAACAATATATAATACATTAGTTTTCTAGATATCAAAGTGTGTACATGTGTATATACTGTAAAAAGCTTTATAATATACTAGTAGTGTAATGCTAATGCATTTCCAATGAGCTGAAATACAATTGAAATGTACTTGAAGTACATTAAAACGATGCTTCAAATATACTCTAACTGTAGTTCATGAAGTATTAAAAGGACATTTTAAATGTATTTTAAGAAATACACTTAAATTGAACTAAATATACTTAAAGTGGTTCCAATTTAACACAATTTCAATATATTAAATATATTACAAATAGATTAAAATCAAACTTAAACATATCTTGAAATACACTTAATATACTTAGTTGTTTCAAAATAATACATTTAATATGCACTTAGTATAGTATAATTTAAATATAGTAAGTATGTCTGAAAAAGCACAATTTAAATATATTTCTTTTTCACCTGGGAAGAGCTACCCGTTCCCGAAACATCAGGGCCCCCGCTGCAGCCGGACCACCCCCCAAGCTGCCTCTCGTAAGCTGCCAGTCACCCCGTTCAGTTCTGGGTGCAGCCGGCGATGTGTTTGCTGTAAACTCTGGGCCCGTTCAAGCGCCCAAACAGCGATCCGCTGCTATAGCGGGAAAAATAAAACACAAACAATTTCAAAGAGAGAGCAAACTTCCTCTTCCATTTCTCATGAGTACCAGGTTCCCTTGCAGCGACCGGGCACTCGAACAATTCAACCCCTGTCCTCCCGGGCCGAGGCGTGGCACGCCATCCCCGGGGTATCAGAATGGGTTATGGGGATAATAAAGCGAGGTTACTCACTCAAATCCGCTCGAAGACCCCCGCGCTTCAGCAGAGTGGTACCCACTTCGGCCGAAGTGAGGAATTTGCTGGAAAAAGGAGCCATAGAAGTGGTTTCCCCGCCCCAGAGCGAGTCAGGCTTCTACAGCCGTTACTTCCTCGTCCCTTCGGCCTGTCCCTGGCTCCACGCACTTTTACGAAGTGCATGGATGCGGCTCTCTCCCCCCTGAGACAGGCGGGAATCCACATTGTCAACTACCTCGACAACTGGCTCGTCCTAGCCCAGTCAAGGGAGGAGTCACTATCTCACCTAGCCCTTCTGGTTCCCAGCCAGCGAGTCTCGTTCCTGGGTTCAGTGTTCGACTCGGCTCAGATGGAAGCGAAGGTCACAGCAGAGCGTGCCCTGAGTATACGGCAGCTCGTGGCTTCCTTCAAAGCTGGCGCCTCTCACCCCTTCAAAAGGTTTCAGAAAATGCTAGGCTGCAGCATCTCCAGTACTACGGTTGGACCTGCTGAGAATGCGCCCCCTCCAACACTGGCTGAAACCACGGGTTCCATCCTACGCGTGGCGTCATGGACGCCTAATTATCAGGGTAGATCAGGCCTGTGTAACGGCCCTGGCCTCATAGATGAACATTCAATGGATGGAACAGGGAGTTCCCCTGGGAATGGTCTACAGGAGGAAGGTGGTTTCGACGGATGCTTCCAACACAGGTTGGGGAACTCTGTGCAAAGGGAAACTGACGTTCGGCCTCTGGTTGATAGCGGAAAGCAATTTGCACATCAACTGCCTCGAAATGATGGCGGTATGGCGGGCCTGTCAAACCTTCCTACCAGACCTCAAAGGACACCATGTCTTAGTTCATTCAGACAGCATGACGGTGGTGTCCTACATAAATCACCAGGGGGGGCTATCCTCGAAGCGGCTCCTTGTATTAGTAGAGCGCCTCTTGGAATTGCCACAGCTAAACCTACGTTCGCTGAGAGCTATTGAACCGAGGAGCAGATATGTTGTCACGAAGCAAGGTCCCCGCAGAGGAGTGGATGCTTCATCCGCAGACAATTCAACAAATTTGGGAAGTCTTCGGCATGGCCTATTCCCCTGAGGCGAGATCTCCTCTCCCAGGCGAACAGGACTATATGGCACCCCAGGCCAGGGCTGTGGGCCTTGCACCTGTGGACGCTCGACGGGAGCCTATTAGCCTAACAGAGTGTGTATTGAACACCCTCTGTCAGAGAGCTTGCTTGTGTTCTCTCTGCCCCCTTGGGTGCTGAGGCTGCGCAAGTCTGTTGGAACGATCACTTGGCTGGGTGAGGCCTTCACGAGGCTAGCCTGTTCAGCCTGGAGGAGTTTATTGTTCTTGTTTCTTGGGCCCTGAGGTGCTTAGGACAAGAATTATCTTGGTCGTTCCTCTGCCATGGCATGGCGTGATTGTACTGCAGACGCAGTACGAGTGTAGTATCGAACGTACTCGGTTACAAACGTAACCTCGGTTCCCTGAGATACGGGAATGAGTACTGCGTTGCTAGCCGTGCCATGCAGCTGCACGACTCAGTCATCGCTTCAGTCAAAGTAACCCGAATCCTATGGCGAAGCAGGCACTTATATAGCCAGATGACTCCGCCCATTCTGGCGGGCTTGGCGGGCTTCGCTGCCGTAGGTTTGTGCAGCACCGCTGCCGAGCCATTGGTTCGTTTTTTAAACATACTGCACGAACCAATGGCCATGCAGTTTCACTGCGTGATTGAAAAAGGCTTCAGTTCAGGAGAAAAAATTACTTTTTACCCATAGCGTCTAGCAGACGCAGTACTCGTTCCCGTGATTTTCAATCACGATTTTCACTGCACAAGACGTTAACTGATGGACTGGAGTTACTTTTAACTTTCAAACTTTCAAATTTTCATTTTTGGCTGACCTATTCCTTTAAATTTCATTCTGTGGCTTTAGACATCTAGAAATATATTGCACAGGTAGTATGGGATACTTTATTAAGCTTCTATGGTGCTTTTCGCCCTTTTTGGAACTTGGCAGGTTGCGGTTCCCATTTACTTGCATTGTATGGAAAAGAGCAACTCAAATATTCTTCTAAACCATTACTTTTATGATCCAAAAAAAAAAAATCATACGGGTTTGGAAAGACACGAGGATGAGGCATGATGACAGATTTTTCATTTAGGGTCAACTATCACTTTCACCCTTAATCACATAATTGCACTGCTACAAAAGCTGATGTGTACATTCATGTCTTTCAAATTCTCTAAATCTTTTCTCCGTGGAACACTAAAGGAGTTCAAGCTGTTCTTCTCCATACAATAAAAGTGAATGGTGCTTTTTCACAGCTTTTTTTCCACAGACATGATGACAGATTTTTCATTTAGGGTCAACTATCACTTTCACCCTTAATAACATAATTGCACTGCTACAAAAGCTGATGTGTACATGTGTGATGGAATACAGCAGCATTAGAACATCTTTATAATAGTCTAAATAATTTGAATCATTAAATTGCAAAGCAATGCAGTGTATCAACACCACACTGTTGCAGCACATATCTCTGGAATGAAAGCCAAAGGACTTGATTATGTCTTCCTGAGGCTTAAATGTGGCTTCCATTGAGTTGATCTCCATGGCAACGCTACTAGTGCCATATTTCTTAATGGATACCATGGGCTCCACTGATTCAGACTGCAGGCAGCACGGTTTCTCACCAAGGGGGAAGCATTCAAAACGGTTTCCCTCTGCAGCTATTAGATGTGTGCATGCAAACACACTATTACCCAAACAAACTGACAGGTTATGGATTTTAAAACCTCATAAGAGGCTCTTCTGGTTTTGTAGAAAATATATTGTTGTGTTGGCCTGAGTACAATGATTGACTGTAAAAATAAAACTGCATCAAAAGGAATGACAAACACCTGTAGAGCTATTACACAGTGGGAATTGCCACAGAATTGTCATGCATTGTTTTTGCTCATGAATAAATTGCAACAGATAAATGAATGAATAAATACATTATCAAACAGTAAATGCTGCAGATAGTTCAGTCAAGTTAAGATGTCAAAAAGCAAATCTTCATGAAGTTTCATCTGAGCAGGTGACCGGATCAGCCAATAATAGCGCATATAACACTCTCGGATATTGGCTGCTACTGAGTAATGGTGTCTATGCCTTAAACCCCCCATGGATTCATATTGATAAAACCAATAGCTTGGAAACATGCTCTTCTGTGCATTTTGATTGGATGAAAAATTGCAATGTGAATCACAAGGGAAACAATGATAACAAGCACAAAATAAACAGGTATGATAACAAAATCTTCTGATATCTTGGTTCTGAAGTCAGAACAAGTCTAAACCAGAAATACAGAATTTTATTGCCTTGCATTAATTAATAAATAAATAAAGAGTTCATGCCGACCATATTAGGCAACTGTAGTTACACATATCATATTGCTGAGTTTCCTCAAGTTTGTCAGTTTTGTGAACAATTTGATAGTGCCATCATTAGTTCAACATCTGTTCATTGTCTTCATCATTTCCCTTTTCATTTCTGACAGCTGCATGGAGTTTTAGAAGGTGAAGTATGTAAAATAAACCACTTACTTTTTATGGGTTTCGTATCTGCCAGTGGCTCCAAGACTCTGCAAAATTAAGTAAACAAAACTTTAAACAGAAGACTTTAAACATTATTTATATTAACATTAATTATAAATTAACCTTGATTATAAGATTAATTATAAATTGATCAGTATGCTATTCGAAAACTTACTCAAAGGTTCAAAACTTTTTTTTGTTTAAAAACTTGTTATATAAATAGTTTTGTTCAAAAACGGTCACTTTTATGCTTTTGCTTAGAAAGTAAATAATATGTTACGTAATTATGAACTTTTCCAAACTAATACTAGATTGTATAAGTACTGAATAAGTCAAATAAATACTAGATTGTATAAGAACTGAATAAGTCAAATAAGTACTGAATAAGTCAAATAAAGGCAACATGACAAAAATGCATGAAACTAAAGTGCCTGAATTACTAGTCTAGAATTCCACAGCAGACACACCGATGCGTAAAACAGATGTGTAAATGTGGCCCCTCGTTGCTTACGTAAGGTGAGTTAATGATATTAACACTCTCTACTACTACAATGCCAAACAAAAAAATTAAATTTTCTAATTACACCGTAATCAGCGCAGACACCATAGCACTTCTGTTACCAGAAACTCTCTTGCTTGGGAATGGCACTCTCACTGTTGTCATAGCAACTTCCGAGAATATGTTTTGAAAATTACCTTTCCTGTAGATGTGCATATCCTTTCATCTGACATCTAATGCCATGTACAAGTGCTGAAAACTGTCCACATCGATCAGCTACCAATGCATGAAACTCACCCGAAGTAAAATGTATCATAAGTATTATTCTGGGTGAAGTACACAAAAATTGATTTGTACATACTTGACCTGTTACAGCATTCAATGCTTTGTTCTTTATGTGGTCTTTGTTATTTTATGCAATTATAAACACAGCAGAAATGTTTTTTGCAGGATTCAAGGGAGGCAAAAAATACAAATATGAAAAGCAAAAATGTATAAAATGTGAAAAATTTAATAGAGAACAATGAGAATGCAATGGAACGAGATATAAACCACTTATTTTTAGTCCAACAGTGACAATGGCAGATTACAGGGAGGCAGTGTCTGTCTCTTGACTCCCATGACGTTTACAAGAAAAAATAAATTTCATAATGTCTTGTAAACCTGATCCTCATGTGGTCAGGTTTACAGCTGAAATGTACATATACTCAGCACATGCTGTATGTATGTATACATATATATATATATATATATACACACACATATTCATATACATGTAAATAAATGGACTAATTGTCACCACGCCATTTGGTCACGACTGAATCTTAAAATAGCTGAATCATGAAATTATCTGTGAGTAAGCCGGTTTTAAGTTTGTTTAAAATAGAGGTGCTTTTTCATTTATGCTACCATCGTGACACCTGTGATTTTGATGATTAAAGGTGTGAAAAAAGGTGCACAGAAGGACTACAATAGTACTAATAATAGTAGATGAAAAACAGAATAAAAGCCACACAAAATGCTTTTACTGCATTACTACTATTGATTGTACTGTATTATTTTTCGAGCAACATAAAAATGCTAAATCTTAAAAAGTTTTAATCTGACTAATATTTTTATTTCAGTAGTTTTTAATAAATAGCATGCAAATATACTCCTAAAAATAAAGGTTTTAAAAGGGAGTTTTTGCAATGATGCCATAGAAGAACAATTTTTGGTTCCCCAAAGAACCTTTCAGTTCTTAAAAATTTCAGTTTTTCTTTTTTAATAAATCTGCAAAAATGTCAACAATTCTGTGTTTTTCTGTCAATATGGGGTGCTGTGTGTACATTAATGAGGAAAAAAAATGAACTTAAATCAAATGGCCAAATGGCTGCAATATAACAAAGAGTGAAAAATTTAAGGGGGTCTGAATACTTTCCGTACCCACTGTATATATATATATATATATATATATATATCTTGGAGTACACTGTAAAGAACCTACAAAGAACCTTTTGTTTAATGGAAAGTTTTCATGAATGTTTAAGGTTCTTCATGGAAATATTAATGCCAATAAAGAACCTTTTTAAGAGTATATAATCATTCAAACTATTGGCTGTTTGTTGAAAGTTTAAGGTAAATGGTGTTCAATACCCGGAAATGGTGTCAAAGTAAAAAACTGAAAATAAATGCTCTCAAACACAGAGAGGAGAAGTTGCTTCCTCATTTCAAAAGTCCAGTCACACACCACTCATACATTGCTACCCTCTGTTTTAACTGCATGATTTGTTCAAGGAAACCAACACTTAAAAAGTTCATTCAAAGTTAATTCTCATGAAAGGGGCCCTTAATTAGCTTTAATATGAAACGGAAGCAGGAACGCAAGGCAATCAGCCTTTTTAAATAACCAAACAAAAGAAATGAGAAATTAAGAAATAATTATCTGTAGACCTGTAAAGGCTTTGCAAAGCAATATCTCATGTGCTTGTGCCACTGGATGTTGAAAATACTCCTTAAATCAATATCTGCACAAAAATAACATCACTATATATCATACTGATATAAAACAAAAAGAAAATACTACACTGTCCACTCCAGACAGTTCTTCTGGTTGAAATTGACAAAAGGCTCAATAGACATGAACCTCTTTCTCCTGAACAAAGTAAAGAAAAACATATTTTCGCATACTGAAAGAACACGTCTTACAGTATATGATGTGACTCACTGAGATGTTCACAACAAGCTGAATCAATTTCCATTGATGATGACACATTTGCCACAGTGTGTGGTACACAATGTTCTATTCCAAACCCAGCAGTATCTGTGACTGAAGTCATGCTTCCTAACAAAGCTCATAGCGTGAAGAGTCGTGAATATATCCAAGAGGGACTGAGTCCCCATAAATGCTGCTTATCTGCTCGCATAGCATTTTGATGAGATCAGCTGGAGATGAATGACAATGATCATTAAGAGCGCAATTGTGTGAAACAAACTGACAACCAATTCCCCAACATTCCCATAAACTACTCTTTCTGGCAGGTTAGATGTTTCACACATAATGTAAATGCTGAATATCTGATATAAGGTGTATACACAAAATCATACAAAACTTGGCTAGAAAGAATGAGACTAACCACTTGGGAGAAATTCTCAATATTGCACCTGTAAGTCCCACCTTTTTTACAGTGCTGTTGTTACTTGCAGTTTTGTTACTTGAAATAGAATAAATTGTAGCTGAAATAAAATATTTAAAAAAAACTTTCTAATGTTAATTTATTTTAATTTGATGTAGTAAAATAAAACTTAAATAAAAATGATAAAAAATTATATAGACATATTAAAAAAAATACAAAAACAAATTAAAATGACAAAAACACCCAACGCTACCAAAAATGTAACTAAAATTAAAAGGATATATATATACACTAATTCAAAATCTTAATAAAAACTATAATAGCATCTCCATGATACTACAATAACACTTGACAAAAGTCAAATTTTGATATATAAAGTCGCAAATATAAGAACTATGATAAATAAACTTAATTGCAACTGTGAAATATAAAATCGCAAATGTGAGATCTAAGGTCACAATTATGACAAATAAAGTGTAAAGTGCATGACACTGAAACAAACTGATTTTGAAACAAATGTGCAATTACAAGAAATGAAGTCAGTTACTTTATGGAGTCAGTTTACTTGCCATAACGTGACTTTTGTCATACTCAGCAAGGCCATGTTTTTGACTTCCAGATCAAACACAATCCAGCAGAAAAGAGAGAGCAATCTTGAACCGTGTGAAAATGTGAACACAGCAAAATGTCTGAGAGCAGCAAATGCCAGCCGACCAGCACTTTGAGCTTAGCAGCTTTGAGATTTCTAATCGAGAGAATTGCTATCGACAGCTTGTTGATTTTGGTGAAATGTCACACTCAGGAAGCTCTATCGGGAACACAACACAGGGCTGCTCTTGTGTGCGCCTGTTTTTTAATGTCAGTGGACCTTCTGGGCTAATACAACAGTTCAGGGGCGACAGCTGTCAATCTGTGGGAGTTAAAGGAGCCTGGAAGGGCTGTAATTGCTTTAAAACACGAACACGAACAGAGACCAAGACAATGGAATGATACGGTCTTTCTGGCTGTGATGCAGAACAGTCACCGAAGGAACACTGCTCTACTAAAAGATTGTTCATCTTATGACTTGTCCCATGACTCTGACAGGTCTGAAGATTAAACATAACGTTAAATCAAACAGCACGAACAGAGTTCATTCATTCATATAATGTGTTAAAGTAAGGCATCAAGCTATAAACCAGGTGTCTGAAAGCTCATACTAAAACTAACACCTCCACACAGCAGAAAAACGGGTCGCAGCTGTGCATACGGTGGACAGATAAATTCTGGGAGCAAACACTCTCACATCAGAATCTAACACACTGGCAGACAGGAAACGGAAGCATTCACCATCCCAAAATATCTGCTTGGATGGACAGACATCTGGTCTTGTGAGCTTACAAGTGAAGACTAACAGATAGATGGCTTTTACCATTTCCCTTCATAAACATGTCAAATAAAAACCACAGCAATTCTCCTTTTCACAGTGCCGAACAATCCTGCTTCTGCCACGGCAGCATGTACTAAATCTCTCTCCACTGCTGCATCACAATTGACTTTCACATGAGCATCAATAATGTGTTAGCCATCGATGGGGAAGATAATCCAAAACTGTGGCTACAAGTTACTTAAGCTAGAGTAAAGCTACTGTTTTGAAATAGTTTGCTAGACTATAAGCTAATATTGAATGTATGAAGTGTTCTAGTTAAAGTAGCAAATATATATACACACACATATATGAAGAGTTTGGTTCCAAAACGCTATAAATCCATTTTGATTCATTTGAGTAAAAATGTGGTTTCTTTACCAAGAAATATATATATATATATATTTATATAGGTCGGGCCGAGGATGCCATATTGTCCCGTTCGCTTGAGAGAGGAGATCCCATCTCAGCGGAACGGGCCAAGGGGCCGCTACCAACAGCTGAGTTAGCTCTGATAGCCACAGCTGG